TGGACACTACAGTGCCCCAAGGGGGCAGGATTCAACAAAGGTTAGATACTTACAATCACTGACAGACAGACAGACAATTTTTTAATGGTCTTATAATGAGGTCAATACATGTCCTTCACTGTATTTGAATTGCATTGGTCATGTAAAGCTTAAATCTCTAAATACTGTTTATAAACGCGTAGCCTTCAGTTTCCTGGACAGATGATAATAACTTAAGTGTTAGTCCCATAAATACCAAAAGATCATTCCTTCTTTCCCATAAAAAAACCTCACAAATCCAAAGTGTAAAAATGCATACATAAATATGCATGGTTTTATGGAAGGTTAAATCTAACACTGCACTCACTTTTGTCAAAAGACATTTCATGAGATGATAAAGTGCAATGATCCAGTCTGAGCAATTTTCTCATATTAGCTGACAAAGGTGACAGTGACTTAACTCAAACTAGAACGATTGTGTGGGTATATATATTTGGGGTTATCAGCTACATTGTCATCACTTCATTTACAAACTCTCTCTCCTGTGTGCATGATTTTTTTTTTTTTACCTCCTTATACCATAACAAAGACAACATAATCAACAATTGTATCATTCTGGTCAGCAAACATTCACACTAGCTTCAAGTGATGCATCTGAAGGTTCCCAAAGGGTGTGCCACAAGACAAACAAATGTGCTGTGAAGAATGGGCTGAATCAGGCCCTGGCCCTGTGAACCTGGACTGGGTCCACAGACCAGTGAGCAAAGTGTGCTGCCCGTTTCAGTCCAGAAAAAGTGCGCCCCAGTATCAAAAGTTTGGGAAATGCTATCGTAGAAAATATTCCATTTACTACTATTAAGCAAGAGTCTATTTATTATGCATGTATATCAATACACTAATGTTTCCAAATTAAGTAACAAGTTACTTTCATCTCCCGTCTGGTTTGCTGACATCTTATGTACAGCCACCCAAATAGCAGGTTCAAAGAAAGGTAAAACCTGAAAGCTTTTTTCCAGCACATAAGTTTGCAAACCTTATTTTGTATTAGAATGGAACAGAGGAGATTTCATTCAGTTAATTTCCCCAGAATAATGCTTTATAAAAAGCATTTAAAAAAAAAAAAAAGAAAAGAAAAACGTTCCTCTGCCCAGTTTGGTGTAAAATGAACTTTATTGCAGCTAGACTCCAAACAAAAAGCCCAACAGATTTATTATGGGCATAATCCTTTAACTATCCTGAGGCATATGGCAGTGTTTTAACACCACTTAGTGTTTTTAACTCTAGGAAGCAGCTGAGGCAAGATTTTAGAGCTCCAGTCAAACATCTAGCCATTCAAATGAACGACGTGTTTGTTTCTTGGCTTTAGAAGGTTTTGAGGCAGCTCTGCCATGCACCAAAGTTTCACTCCTCAGAGGTGGCTGCTGATAGACGGAGCTGCAGCTTTGCTGCAGAGGTGGTTACCGTTTTACACGCTGTCCACACAACAAGTTTTAAAGGAGCTGAAAACCAATTATGATGTCGTTTGCACCCCACGCCATATGGCTAATACTTGGTTAAAAACCGTAGCAGTTAACACTGTTTTACTCCTGCCAGAGTCCTAGGCTGTATCTGGTTGGGCGTGCTTGCTTTGCGGCACAGACAGGACCCCCTAACCATGTCTGTGTAATTGGTTTGGCCGGTCTTCCTTCTTCCCAGCTCTCTCTGCACTGAAGTGTCCCAGCCTGCACTGCCCCAGAGGACTGCTCCTGCCACTCTTTGTGTCTGCCCTTCAAGCACTCTCTCCCCCTACTGAGGCATTCTGGGATAGCTGCCCAAATTCTCCCAGAATGCACGGCACACGCAGCCAGACCTCGCAGAACGGGGAAGGCCAATGAATAAACATGGCTGTGGGAACACAAACGATGCCATGTGGACACAATCTGAATGGGGTTAATGTGAACAAGCCTCCAACCAGCTGGGGCTGTAGCATCTTCCGAAAAAGGCAAGAAATGTCAAGTCACAGGTCAAAGAGCTGTGCATTACAACTGGAGAAAAATTAAGCCAATAAATACAAGGTTTTCTGGAAAGCTCTCCCCCACATCCGAAAACCCTCCTGGACCACTGCCAGCCAGGCCGCAATGAAAGAAGGCTTACAAATTACTTGTACTTCAGGGCAATTATGAAAGGCAACTGGTTCAAGGGGACTTGTAAAGGACTAGTTTGCATCAGCCCAGAGCAGCAATCAGATTGCAATTCTGGAAGTTTGGTGCTGGTTTCCAGCTTTAAGTCACTTGACTATATAATGCAGCACTCTCTTGCTTTTCACTATTTTAACTGATATATTAATTCAGTAGGGGGGGGGGAAAGGTTATTTAGTGAACTATGAAAGCTCCTATCTAGACCTCGCTTATTTTATGGAGGTATTCACCTCCCTCTCCATGATATCAACAATAATCTTGTTTTACCTACCATATTTATTTTTCCCCAATCACACTGCCAACTAGGACAAACACATTCCTGGCTATACAACCCAGTGGTTGAAGATATAACATTTACCCAACACACACAGAGGAGAGGAGCACAGCATAGAACAAGTACCACAATCACAACAATGTGGACATATTTTTCCTAGAGGAAGACATTGAAACACCAAGCTAAACAGATGCCACTAGATCTGCAGAGTCCACACACACTTAAGAGAACCAGACCACAAGACAAATTAGATCCATTACAAAATGTATCAGCAACCTGCAAAACTCCAGAGCTTTCTATATATTCTATATTACTCTTAAAAAGTTTGCAACAGCAAGATAAATATGAGCCATTTCCTAGTAAGAGTTTTAAGTCTCATTCTCAATAGATATTTACTATTTTAGAAGACTCTTTTATGCAAAGCCAAAATAAAGTATGCCCCTGAGTGCTGATGGACATAACTGGCCCAATTCCAAACCTCACTGAAGTCAGTAAGAAGACTCCCACTGACTTCAATAGCCTAGGACGAGGCCTAATTTGCTCTGAAGAGAATCTCCTTAGCACAGTGTGTTGCAAGCAACTTCTGCAGGCCCCGATTCTAAAATCAACTGACTTTAGCGTTCACAAGGAGCCTTACTGGTTGCAATGAGCTACTTCCCTGAAGGTAACAACAAGAGTGCCATAGGGATGCACCACCTCAGATCTACACTGCTGCAATTCCTGAAGTCACTCTAGAGTTAGACGGACATAAAAGAGCAGAAATCTGAACCAAGTTATTCACCTCTAGCTCCAGATCGAACCCCCACCCTACCCAGCTCAGGGAGAGTTTATATTTAAAAAGGGAGATGTGTTAACTGTAATGGCCTTAACAACTGCATGACCATGCAAATTAAGTTGGGTTACAGCCATAAGTCATGTAAGAGTTTGTTTACATTGCAAGTAGTGGTTGGAAATTTCTTTCTGTAAGGGGGTGGTGGAAAAGGAGCAACTTTTCGATCCTACCTAGAAGTGGATTGCCCACTCTTCACCCACTCTGAAATTCAAAATATGGATGGCAGACATGCAAGACAGCAATCAGCAAAATTCCCATCAGTAGGGACAGTCTCTCCAAGACGAAAGAGGAAAAAAAACCCCCAAACACTGCATGCTACTCCACCACGAACCTTGAACGCATTTCTGAGCTCACATATATTGTCACCACAGCCCTCCTAACAATTGTAAAATATATCACTCATAATTAAATTCTAAAATTCAATTGTTAGGAGATGGCTGGTAGGGTTTCACCCTGTCCTCCTGCCAGACCATCTCTCTCATGCAGGGTAAAGAAAAGGTAGGGAATCGTCTTTGTACAACCAGCAGCTTCTTAGAGACTAAGAAAGTTAGAACTATTCTAAGAGTTGTCCTATCAATACTGTATCTTTCTGCCATGATACAAAAAGAAATGCAACATATTGACAACTGTAACCTAGATCAGCCCTAAGAAGAGTAACAGCTATATTGCTATCTGATAATTATTCTTTTTTGTCGTTGTTGTGGAGCTGCATTTTTTCAGCTTTTACCCTAGGTTTGCTTATCTAAAAAGCAAGATACACTCCCAGTGTCAGGACAGCACCCCCCAGCTGGAGTTTGCATTCAAAACAGTAACTTTCTCTTTCCACTAGTCACCTACCAATTACATTCTAACTCTAGCCTGGCAAACACGCACAAACAAGCCAGATCACACACATGCCAGTACCACCGGGAAAGTCAGCCAAACAACTCAAGTGGGCAAGGTGAAACATTCACGTGCATTGTTCAGATAAAAGCCTAAATTTGTCATTGTAACCCCTAACAAGCACCTAATTTTGACAAAATTCAAATACGAGGATGCTCAAAAACATTTCAAACCAAGTTAGAAAAATCTGTAAAAGCGCAGACACAGCAAGTCTGGATCACAGAGAGGGAAAAAACAGCCCGATTAAAAGTCCTATCTTTGCATTAGTGCTGTATCCCTAGCTTCAGAGTTATCCAGCACGCTTCACTATGGGCATTTAAACCCCGCACCGTTCCAAAGAGCTTTCCCATCAAAGTCCCAATGTGTTCATCACAAGAAGGGCCTTTATTACGCTGCGACAAGGGGTGCTGCGGCTGTTACTTAGCTCGATAATAAACAAGTTGCAGCATGTGCACGCACGCACGCACAATACGGCACATATGAAACCCATCATCTGCAATTTGCCTCATTTTACCAACTCTCACTCTCTGCCCCCCTCCCGCCACCCCCTGGCCCCTAACAAGTGCTCGGGAACACTGGGAATCGCTCGAGCCATGGTCCCTTTAAAGGCCCCCCTCGGAAGAGCTCGCTTACCATACTGAAGTCCAGCAGGTCACTGAGTTCTTTGTCTGTCCCAACTGCAGCCATTCTCTGCTGCTGCTGCTGATTCATACTCCCACAGACTCAACGGTGGCAGTCCTAAAGAAAACCATGGGGGAGGGGAGGAGATATTTTAATGACTAGAGCAAACTACCCACCCCACTGATGAATATTAAAGCAAAAAGAAAAAGGAAAGGAAAAAAAAAATCCTTCGCAAATTCCCAGCCTCCAACTTCAGGGCCTTGGAACACAGTGAAAGTCCTCACATGGCACCCAGAGGCAGGAACAAGCCTCCTATTGACCAGCCACACTTGTATGTTTGTTTTTTGCTGCCAATTCCACTAGCTCAGACCAATTCTGCTGCTCCCGGCTTACGGCAAGCAAAAAAAAAAAAAAGAGCGAGCCAGCTCATTTATCAAACGTTCTTGGCGGGTTTCAGCTTCGCCACCGCCCCCCCCCACTCCTCGCAGGAGGTTCTCTTGTTTTTGTCTATTTCTCTTTAAAGTTTAAAAAGGGCCCAGTTTTGTGCCCAGAGCCCTCCCTACGGGTCCGGAGCACCTGCAGCTCCTACTTTTTTCGGACCGGAGTCGTGGAAATCAAGCTTTGAAAAAAAAAAAGGAAAAAAAAAAAAAAAAAGATTGAGCCCCTGGAATTATCTACCAGAACGATCAATACCCTAACACAAGAGAGAAGGAAAATAAAGTCACATTTTCACCTTCAAAGCATCTTGCAAAAATAAAACTCCCTCGGGCAAAATATAGGGGGAAAGTATTCCTTGCTTATTTAAAAAAAAAAATTGTAAAAGTGGGAGATGGCAAAAAAAAAAACCAAAAAAAAAAAAATCAAGCCCATTACGTCAGAAAAAAAATATCTCTTCAGGGAGAGAGAAAAAAAAAAAAGAAACCTGGGATGAGATAAATGATTCCCTCTTCTTCCTTAAAGCTCATTCATAGTTACAAAGGGCAGCTGGCCAATAATTTAACTCATTAATCACACAAAAAAAAACCCCAACCCTTTTTAAACCTGTGCTGTTCCAAAGCCCTGGGAGGAAGCGCTAGCTCGCTCACCCCTCGCATTTCAGCGGAGCTGAAGAAACGTGCTGAAATCAACCCAGCCCGTGAAACCCCGCTGCCACCGTAAAATAAAAGAGGGGACTTACAAACCAGCAAAGAAACCAAGCCCCTGCCTTCGCCTCTTTTGTGCATCTTGCCGTGTTTTTAAAGCAACTTTGAAAACATTAACCCCCCGCCCCCCCCAACGGGGTCCTGGAGAGCCCCGGCTCCGCCAGGCACAAGCCAGGGAGCGACTGCCGAGCAGCGGCCGGGGGAGGCCGGGCTGCGGGGCCGCACAATGGCCCGGGCACAGCGCGGCCTGCCCC